TTTAGGTGATGTGATTCACAATTCGAGAAGACATATGCCAATTGCCATATAATTGAATAATGTATAACAATTTATATTGAAGTATATGGGATACTTGAGGATAATGTGTAGGTGCTTGTTAAAGAACAAGTTCACTGAACATGACCCATTATGAGAACTTCATTTGATATTTCACTTAAGTGTTTATGACTAGTGTTCTCATGTAATAGTCGTGTAACTAGTTCTCAAACTTGAGACACCAAGTTATCTTGTATAGGGAATGACATATTTTGATTTCACTCTTATGGGTTTAGAAATGACCAGATGTCTGAACAGGATATTTTTGGGTATACCATGAAGCATGCAAAGGTGAATAAATGGTTAAGAAAAAATTCATCACCCCAAGTGCTATAAAGGGATGTATCTCACTTGTTCTCAATTCTTGTTAACTTGTATAAAGTCTCTAGCCAAAGCATGATGAATTTAAGGAAAGTTAGTTTTCTAAATTTATAAGGTTAGTAATGAATTATGAGAACTAATATGGTATGTTATAAGTATACATAGAGCCATGCTTTACGACATATCTGAGATTTTGGTGAAAAAACCATATTACACTAAGAAGCGTATCACTGAAGAGCTTTGGCAAATTTTATAATTGACTTTCTAACATTTGGATGGTCATGATTTCTTGCTAGATGTCGTTTATGATCTATAAATATAAATCAATTATCAAATCGATATTTGATTAAGATTTATATTTATTGCCAACATGTTAAGCCTAATGGGTCACACACATTAAATGACATGATTAGGATTAAATAAGAATAATTAATTAAGTTGGACTTAATTAAAAGAGACCAAAATAAAGTAAAAAATTAATTAAGTTCACAGAGACTTAATTAAATTAAAATACAATTGTTGTATTTAGGCTTACAACTTAGTTTGGCTATTTATAAATATATTATATTAGCAAACTAAAAGCTCTAAGCCTCCAACCACTTCTCAGCTATTTTATAAAATAAGAAAAAAAATAATTTTCTTTATCTGACAAAAATAAAATTAGATAAGAATTTTTTGGTCTTTTTGTTTTAGAAACAAAACTTGCTAACACAAGTAAAAAATCTTACCTTTAAGAAAGTCTTATTTGGTCACTGTGTAGATTATTGTTAGAGGTCAAACACTTAGATGGCTGAAGATTTGACTAATCTTAAAGGTGAAGAAACAAATATTTCAGTTACAGGATTTTAGATCGTTTTATTTTCTTTTCAAGTTTCTTACTTCATCACAAGCATTTTAGATTTAATTGGTTCTTGATTACAAAATCTAAAACAAGGTGTGTAATTTTTAAACTTATGAGTATTTATCATTAATTTGAAAGGTACGTATTAATTTATTGATTATTTTTATGTTTGAGCATGAGGTCGAATCTTAGTATAAATTTCTTGGAATCCCGAATTTGCAAACCCCATCTTCTTTTGATGCACAAAGCTTGTTCCAATTTAATGCATGTATTTTTCTAGAGCTTCCAGCATGACCCCATATGAAATTTCAGTTCAGTGAATAGCTTTTCAAGGAAAAAGAATGCCTACATTAGATAGGATGTCCTGGTGCTAGTCACTGACTGTACTAAAGAGATTCTTCTTATTATTCTATTTTTCCAGCTTTTGTCTAACTTTGAGAACCGGTTCTGAATAAGTTTCCCTTGTGATTCCTCCATGGATCATAGGTGTGCCGAGAACTCTTCCCAAAATCCATTGTCAAAGGGATCTTGGTAGTATTACTTAGTAAAATTCACTCTTGCACTACACACATTAGAAGAAAACAGTATTCTTGATTTAGCGAGGCTAACCTTTTGTCCCTAAGCCTTGCAAAAAAACATTCACTTGTTTTATTGAGGCAGCTCCAAATAACATTAGATCATCTAAGAAACAAACATGAGAGAGAGTAAGGCCTCTTCTAGTTAATTGGAGCAGTTTCCATCTCCCCATATTTACAGCATTCTCCAAGTAGCGAACCAGTGGATCACCCTGTTGGATTCCTCTTGTTGGAGTACTGTTCCAAATAAAAGAGAAAGTAGGTGTTTTAACAATGAACATTATAAGTTTCACCCAAGCAGATGGGAGACCAATTTCTTCCAGTACTTCAAGCGGATCATAGGCTTTCTCCAAGTATGAAATTCTTTATCTTAAGATGTCTTTCTTGAATTGTGCTATATATATTGATTTTTTAATTATATTACAACTCTCTTTTTTATTACAATGCAAGGAAACAACAACAAACAAATTGAAACCGCATCATATAGACCTGCTACTGATACTCTTTGCAACCAACTCAACATGAAGTCTTATCACTCAAGCAACTCAAGCAGAAAGTAAGATTTAGCAGATAAAATGTAAAGCATGGTTGGCTATCACTCGTGTTCCAAGGACTACCTACAAATTTCACAACTCTGGCACAACATAATCTTCCATGGATCATCTCTTCCTAAACTGAATTCATTACTTGGCAACCTTAAGCTTGTCTATGTACAGAAACCGGCTCCTTTATGAAGTTCACAGGTTTTCATTGGGAGGGCACTGAACTCACAGTTGCCTCTAATTGGTTCTCGGCGGGTTGAGTTTTGAGGAATTCCAGCACTGGAAGACGCTGCAAGTGCAATGCAGATGAGGAACCACTTTCCAAGAGAAAAACTAGCCCCATAGCTATGTCAAAGAAAGCTCGAGACCAGCTTCTTCAGATTTCAAAGTCAAAGATTCTAAAACTTCATGGCTTCTTAAAATCCATCAACAGCGACATCCTCTTTTCCAAGAATTCTGTGCGCATCTGCAACTAAACAGCTACACCTAGAATCTGCAATACAAAATCAACAGATAATGATAATAATAAAAATGATAATAAAGAAGTATTATTTAAAATGATACTAATAAAATTAATCATTATTTAAAATGATAATAATAAAAAATAAAGAAATAAAAAGGAAGTAAAAAAGGAATAAAAATAAATAATGAATCAATCAGATAATAAGCTATAAAATGATTGAGTTATAAAGGATAAAAAAAATAAGTGATGATAATGATAATAATAGAATAATAAATTATTAAAAAATGATAATAAAGTTTTGAAAGGTTTTTAAAATGTAATATAATGAAAGGATAAATAATAAAGAAGAAATCAATTTTTACAAATCACCCTATCTGAAAATTAGGCAAAAGTTTTGATAGAAACTTTTACCATATTCAAACCAGCAATACGACGTCGTTAGCCATTTGAGTTTTTTTTTTTCTTTTCTCAGCTTGAGAGTTAGTTTTTCTCAATATGGATTGACTAGATTCTTTATGTATAAATTAAGATCCCACCAAAGTGTTGGGAGTGTCATAAATTTTCTCTCAATTCAATGAATCATTATTTGAAATCATAATAATAAAAAAAATAAACAATGAGTCATTCAGGTAATAAACAATAAAATGATTGAATTATAAAATGATAAAAAAAATGACAATGATAATATTAGAATAATAAATTATTAAAAAAATAAAATTTTGAAAGGTTTATAAATAACAAATAAGAAATTAATTTCTACAAATTACCCTATCTGAAAATAAATCAACAGTTTTGAAGAAACTTGTATTATATTCAAATCAATAATACGATATCCATAGCCATCTGAGTTTTTTTTTTTGTTAATTAAGAGTTAATTCTATCTAAAATGAACCTATTAGATTCTTTATGTACAAAAAATAAATTTTCTAAATTCTCATATCATTGTGATAATTTTGTTTATCAGACAAGGATCAAAACTTATACTTTATATAAAATTTAGACATAACGCTCAAATAATCACAAGATAATAAACCAAGCTAATTAATTAAGATGACAAAATAAAATAACCGATATCACAAGTATCAATATAAAAATAAATGTAAAATAACCATCCTTTTTTAAGTTTTGATAAAAAATACAGATTCATTAGTTTTCAAAATAGATACTCTATCTCAAAAAATATTTTTTATTATAAATATAAATTTAGTTGTTAATCAACTATTTCTATCAATTTGATGACATGACAAAAGTACAAAAATAATTTTACTATTGATTAATTTTTAAATTTACTATTATATAATTTTATTAATTAAAAAAAAAACTCCCCATTTGGAGAGCACCAAAGCTCCTTTGGGTAGCCCGATTTGATGCTCCCCTTTTTTGGGAGGCTGAGGAGCATTGATTAATACTCTCGATTTTTTGTAATTTTTTAAAACAATATATAATAATAATTTTTTAATTTTATAAAAAAAAACATTTTAATTTTTTCATAATCTCTGTTAATGATAGTAGCGTCCATTTCCTAAATTAATGGATCTACTTAAAATTTTGATTAAAATTTAGAGAAATGAAAGTATTTTATCTTAAAAATAAAGATATAGTGTTAAAAAAAATCTTTAAATTATTCTAGCAAACTCAAATAAAGTTTTTTTCTCTTATTGTATTCAATCAAATCCCTATATTTTTATTTTAAATTAAATAAACTCTTATGATTAATAATTAACTAATTAACATTAATCAAAATTTTCCTTATCATTTTATATCCACGTAGTATTGATGTAGAGGGTGAAAAAATATCATGTAATCATATCAAATTAATATATTATATCATTAATAATTATGATATATCAACATACTATATTATTATCAATTATGATATGATAACATGCCAAGTTAACATCACACTTAATCAAATGACATTTTAATTAAATCGATAATTAAGAATAAAGATTTATTTAATTTAAAATAAAAATACAAAAACTTCAATAAATATAATAAAAATATAAAAACTCATCTAAATTTTTTAAGATAATTTAAAAACTTTTTTAAATATTATACTTTAAATTTTTTTTACTTGATTTAAAATAAAAGTGAATGCAATAGTAAAATAAAATTTTATTTGAATTTTATTAAATAATTCAATAGCTTTTTAAAACATTATGATATATATTTTTTATTTTATGAGCAATTACCATAAAAAATAAATTAAAAAGGAAAGAAAACAGCTTGCATTTATGTAGAAGATGTTAACATGACCGCATTGTTGCTAAAATCTAGTAGGTAATTGGTATGACATTATCCCATCATGGTCACATCCTCATTAACACATTTAAAAGGAACTGGGAAAAACACAAAGAAAAAGTGAGACCTTGACTTGTGCTAAAAGGTGGTGCTGTCTGCCTCTTATTTTAAGATTACATATAGCTGTTGGCTGAAGATTTTGCAGATAAACGTAAAGCATGATTGTCTATCACTCATGTTCCAAGGACTAACCAAAATATTCACAACTCTGGCACATCTTAATCCTCCATGGATCATCTCTTCCTAAATTGAATTCATTACCTGGCAACCCGAAGCTAGTGTATGTACAGAAATAGGCTCCTTTATTTCAGTTCACATTTTTTTTCATCGAGGGGGCACCGAACTCACAGTTGCCTCTGATTGTTTCTCAGCGAGTTGAGTTTTTAGGAATTCCAGCACCGAAAGACGCTGCAAGTGAAAAGAAAATGAGAAATCATTTTCCAAGAGATAAAACTAGCCTCATAGCTGTATCTAAGGAAAACTTACCCGAGGCTCGAGACCAGCTTCCTCAGATTTCAAAGTCAAAGATTCTAACAATGTTATGGCTTCTTGAAATCCATCAACAGCCACATCCTCTTTTCCGAGAGTTATGTCCACATCCGCAACTTTAGCGAGGGAAACAGCTACATCCAGAATCTGAAATACAAAATCAACAGGACAAAAACAATGCTACACGCTTCAATACCAACAAAAGCATCTATATCGGAAGAACAACGAAGCTTCTCCAGCACTAGAATGGATTTCAATTGCAAACACATACCATTCTGATCTAGTTTCATATTTAATAAGAACTACCTACTCTATTTTGTTTCACAAGCATTGGTTGTCACAAAAACTTTAACAAAGTTTAAATCATTCGGATTTGTTTTCCTTTCTCAGGTTACATTTAGACCAGCCAGAAAGAAAAGGGCGAGGGGACAACCCTGAGCGAAGCCTCTGTTAATTCATTTTGAATCCTTAGGCCCAACATTTAAAAATTAATTATTAGTATGCATCCTCTGCCCTAAAAGCAACTGGCAACAGGTCAGCAGACACAGCTAAAGCCACCTTAACGGCAAGCCAACACACCAGCCATGTATCAGGTATACGCACCAGGAAGGCACTTATACCACGACTCTTGGCAATATTTTGTTAATACGTTGTCTTTCAGGAAACATTAAAAAAAATGTAAAAAAGAAACTGCATATTTCTCACAGGTCCTGTGGAGGCATAACCTGCTCTCTTTTACCAATCCCTACACCTCAGGACCTGCTAATTAGGGTTTTTTAGAGTTTATGATTATGAAGAGGGGCTTAGTGTTAATTGTTGCATTACAGTTTAATCTGATAGGAATCTATTAGCAGAACATTGGCTGAAACTGTATAATGTGAGAAATTCCTGTGTGGCACCAAAAAAAAAAATGAAGGTGGAGGATTTGATTGACAGGAACTGACAGAAACTATGGAGGGTCCAAGATTTATTTCTTACAAAGTGAAAGTTTGATGTAAGTAACAATGAAGCTAATAAATAGGTATTGTGTCACAGGTAAATAGGTATTGGTTAACAATCAGGCAGGTCAGCAGCCCAAGCAGGCTATCCAACTAGCTCAACAGACAGGAGGCCCAACCCATTTGCATATCAAGGGGTAAAAGTTTTAGCACACATTTTTTAAAGTGCAGATAGGCTATTTATTTTCAATTGAAATGTAGATTGGGTGAACATTCAAATTTTAAAGTGTAGATAGGCTGATTGGTAAAAGTAGCAAGAAATTACAAAGCCATCCCTCCAAATGGAACTTTTATAGTTACTAATCACAAAACTATGTATGCAATTTTCCTTTTTGTACACAATTGCGGTACAAAAAGAGAAAAAGAATACTTAATCCACCATGGCTGCAATATAATGTCCCTACTACTCAGGAAACATCTCTAAGAATTCCTACCAAAAATTATAGAATGTATGCTAAAACCTTCAAGAAATTAGTGGACCAGTTCAATTGATCCACCTGATTAACTGTCACTTGACAGCGCAATTTAGATCTATACAAATACTGCATGTCACAAGCATCTCATTGAATACCATTTTGATAGCACTACAATGCCAAGATACAATTGTAGACCTCACTAGATAAACTTGAGAGAATCCATAAGAGACCAGGAAAGTACACTTTTTGCTATCAATGTCTTTGATTCAATTAAGTTGTACATATCCAAACGCAATATTTCAGATCAACAAAGGGGTTAAGTTTTAGTCGGTTTTGAATATAGTGAAAACTGAAATTCAAATATTAATGATAAAAGATACATGTCATTAGAAGACATAATATGATTCATGCATAAACACATTCATAACAGAGACTGTGATGATAATATCAGGCTAAGCTAAAAAGAAGCAAAAAAATGACGAGGAAAAGAAAAACCAAATTGCTACCTGAGAAGAAATACCAGGATTATGCTTGATAACATCACGGCGGACACCCAAAGAGCGAAAGTAGTAAGACCTTGCAGCTTGCAGATCTCCATCATAATACTTAAGATCTCCAATTTTATTAAGTGAAACAGATAGTGTATGTGTGATCTGTAGAAAGTAGGTTCGAAATGATCATGGTGACTCATTAGTGAAGAATATAAAGGCAATATGACAAAGCAAAGTTTACAGGGCAATAACCTCCAAATCATCTGTTGGCAATTTTGTAAGGAACTCAACACTCTCCTCAAAATAATTGATTGCAGCACCAGCATCTCCCATTGCTCGACTGCTAGAACCTTAAATGCTTAGATTTACTCAAACATTTGCATCACAAGTACAAAGAGTTCTTGTTCCCAATAAGGTTATTTCACTGATTCTTCTCCTCTAAGTTTTCCACATCATGTTTTAAATGAGACCAATCTTCACATTAAAGATCCGTTTGTTTTTTCTCTTCATAAACAAGATTATAATAAGCATAGCAAACTAATATAACTTCAATTACTTATTTCAAGAAAATGATAACAACTTAAAACTTACACAAACCAAAAATCCTACCAGATAACTAATCCAGTATAAATAAAACTATAACACAGATGGAAACTCCAAACTCTTACCAAAGCTCAAACACTTCAACCAACTTGTCCACAAAATTATTATTTTTTAGAGCTGAATGCAATTCTCAGGACAAGAACAATATCCCTGTCTGCAGTCTAGACCAAGGAAATTTTTGTGTTATTAATCTTTTATTACTAGTTCTTTAATTAGTTCATTGGTTATGTTTCTAAAATGAGGCAAAGCTCAAAAACATAAAAACAGAAATAGGAAATAAAGAAACCCAGACCAAATCAGGCACAACCAACATTATCTTATGCGTTTAAGACTGCAGAAGCTTTAGCTTCAATTAACAGCAGTATAGCAACAGCACACATGATCCTATCTCAAACAATACTCATTTCTAACATCTATACCAGGAGTTATGTTGCTCTGACTATTCATTTTCCAAGCAGTACTTGAGTCTGACACATCCATTGGACGTGGGTATGAACGTCCAACCCTCCAAATATAAGGAAGAACTTAGAAATAATTGAATATATCCATGTTGGACACATACCGTTTCCAACACTCACACTCACTACTGAGTCCAATAGACAGGGAGTAGCCATGGGCTTTGCAGCAAATAACAGTTAAATCATTGAATCATGGCCCATATATCACTGTTGCCAATTGAGCCCATGTAGAACATTTAATCCGTTGATCAACTGGACTGCGGTGCAATATTGAAGTCCAACAATCAACATCCAAATGGTTAGCCAGATTTGACGAAAAACATCTATATTCTTATGTTCTCTCTAAAACAACCATCAGTAACACATCACATGCAGATTTAACCACTGTCTAAAATCCCCTGACACCACTTCCTAATGTCAAATAAAAAGAATATGGCCAAAAGTCCTAAACCAGGTTCCTTAGCATAATTGGATAAACAGATATAGCAGTAATAAAAGCCCATATTAAATGATTGGATAAACAGATACAGCATAATTGGATAAACTTAGACAATTCTCAGTGACCAATCCTGATTAACAATTTTTCTTGACCCTCAGACATAAACTGATGCACCAATGAATATAAACTATCAACATAGCATAGAGACGCCATAAGAATTCAAAAAAAAAGTAAGACTCAAAAGAAATCTACCATGCGCGCACGGTTCTTGATTCAAAACATTAATGCTTCTCTGCAGTGCTGCAAACAGTACCCTAGAGTGGTCTGAACAGCATTACAACAACTAATACACCTGCTAGAACAGAATAGGCTATAACTAAAAGACCTCTTGAAAACCAATCTCAAAGGTCTAACTTAGTCCCCAAACCAAAGCCAAGCTCACTCCAGCTCAACCTTAAAGCTCTCACAAACCCAACAAAATTTTAAAACAACTAGGTTTCAAAGAAGAAGAAGAAGAAGAAGAAGAACAGAAGTGTTCTACCAATCCAAGCTTATCACTTAAAATGAAAATGCATACCTAACCTAGGGCCTTGACCCAAACCACAATCCTCTAGCCCATGTTTATTCAAAACTTGGCAGTGCATTCTTGCCCCTTAACATTTTCAGTCACAAATTGCAAACTCATAGCTGACGTGCATTGTCTACCACCTTACACCCTGACAACCTTTATAAAAGTCTATGATCTACCCTTTTCCCTTAACAATAGGGTATTATCTTTTAAATCACATTGGCACAGTTTAAACATCTTAAAACCTTAAATGCACATTTAGTAACAGAAATTTTCAATCTTGCAATTCTAGATGCAAAAAGTTAAAAACAAACACTGATGCTAATATAACCTCAAAGACTCCAAAATAATTTGGCTAACCATTAAACACTTAATAAAACCTGATTGTGCTCTTGTTGTCTATCAAAATTAAAAACCAACAGTCTCTGCAGACAACATCAGCTAAATTGAAAACGACATGTGTGTACATACAGGAGAGTGCAAATAAATATATTTAATCAATAGAAGAGAGGAGTGCGTGTGGAAACATACCAGCTATCACCAAGCATACCAAGAACTGCCCCAAGCTGTGAGCACAACTCTGATGTGTTGCCCACTTTATCTAATTGATCTCGAATGTCTTCCGCACACATACTGAGTCTAGATTTAGCACTTTCTATATTTTGAGCACGAAATGCCTATACAAAGCACGCAGAAACTTATTTCACAAAACCCAAATAGCTACTAGAAATAAGGAAATAAAGCAAGGAGCAGGTAACTTACCCTCATGGCCTGTTGCACCAAGAAAGCACCTCTGTCCAATGAGACATCCTCATAAATTACCTTTTTATCCTCATTCAGAACTTGCTCTCCTTCTCCATTGGTGTCAACATGAGCCCTCTTGATCCTAGCATGCCCTTCGATAAATCGATCCACTATGCTTTGAAGATTGGTGTCAGGTTCCAATTTCTCTATGTCAGCTCCACATAATGGGCAATCCTTAAACCGTGATATACACACTCTAAAAAGAATAAAAAATTTATCACAAATAAGCAAAAAAGGGTCAATTACGCCAAGCACATAAAACGATTTATTACCATAAAAAAAAGGTCAAATAAGAAAAAAAAACCCACAAAAAAAAGATTGTCACAAAAAAAGAAACAAAACACAGTCAAACAAGAAAAATGCATCGATGAATTAAAATGAGAAAAAAAAAGCAGCAAAAAAGGCCATCAACTAAGAAAACCCATCAAGGATAAAGACGCAGCATAAAACAGTCGATTAAGAAAACCCCATTAAAGAATTATCATCGAAAACAGAAAAAAAAAACCGTGAAGTAATAAATACCCAAAATTTTTAGCGAAAGCAACAAGGGGAAAATTGATTATTACTTGCAAAAGAGATGAGAACAAGGGATGCATTTGGTGGAGTCAAAGAGAAGAGCTTGGCAGATCATACAACTGAGAGGACCAAGCTTGAAGTTGTTGGAATCGTAACCAAAGGGACATTTGGGAGACACGGTAGCGGTGTCGCCGGAGTCTTTCCTTGCCGCTTCGCTGCCGCCGGTGGCGGCTTTTTTGGCAGAACCAGCGTCGTCCGGTCGAGCCGCTTTGACGAATGGGCAAACAGGGGTGGTCATCCTCTCTCTATAAGAAGAAAGATTGGAAGCAGAGGAGGAAGGAGTTTCGAAGGCTAAATATATTTGGATTGGAGACGAAAATGACGTCGTTTCGATCCTTGCTTTGTTTCTATGGCTCCCGTTGTCTTCTGCAACGCGTATTCACTTCAACGGCTCATCCTCTTGGGAACAGAAACGATCTGTTGTTATATAATTTATAGTTTCCTTTAATATGAAACCCCTACATTTTCTCTTATTTCTAGAAAACCCCATGAAGTAATTTTTACGCCCACTTGGGGACAAGATAATGATATTTCTTTTAAAAAATTTTTAGAGTTTAAATTTTAGATTATATCAAAATTGAGTTGTTTAAAGTAAATGTATCACTCATTTATTATTTCTTCAATAAAAGATTAGTAAATTAATTGGTTGAACGAATTAAAAAAATTCATTATTTGAGATATTTTGATTTCATATTTAGATTGTCTTTTAATTTAAATATTAATTTATTTGTTATTAATTTATATTTAAATTAAAATTTAAAATAAAAACCCACACACACACATACACACACACACACACACACACACACACATATATATATATATATATACTTACCATTTTCATATTAGTTTCATCAATCAATTACATTTAACTATATGTTCACTTTTTAAATGGCACACAATTTTAGAATTGTGATATTCTATTTTTTAACTTTGCAAATTTTATTTTAAAGTGATATAAAAGCTAAGAATCACATCCAAAATTAACATTTTAATAAAAGACAAATATTAAAATATTATTATGGAATATGAACATATCACACCACATTAGATCAATTCAAATTAGAGTAAATTTGATAAAAAATAAATGTATTATCCACATTTTAAATATTTCAAGATTTATCTATATGTGGATATTATCTAAGAGATAATATGAGATTTATCAAGAAGATAATATAATTTAAAAATATATCTTAATAGGAAATTGTGATAACTATTGATCTGTAAAGGGCTTCAACCATAAATAAAGGATCACCCCACCCTCATTTGTATCATAATTATTTTTCATTTCAAGCATTGCTTCAGTAATACATACAAGCATTCTCTCAATATCTCTTTTTTCTTCTTATTTTTATTATTTCTTTTACAACATGTTATCAGCACGAGTTTTGTCTTCCTATTTCTATTATTTCTTTTACAACTTGTTATCAACACGAGGACTTCCCAAGAGGTCACCCATTTTAGTATTACTTTTGCCTAAATCTTTATGATCACACCCTAAGTGAGAATATTACCATTAGACCAAGTGCCCACCTTGCATATTGACGATACATTACTAAACAATAGATCGAAAAGAAATCTACTTAACTTCAAAGATGTACGCTGTAATACGTATTGTCTTAAGACAACTTATGGGTAAAATAAGGAATGTATCTACATCACCTTTTATAAGATGGGCCAGAACACCATCCATGAGGAGTTGGAAGCTTTACTATTAGAGTTGTTGAATCTTACGCTACCATGTCCTAAAGATTGATAAATCCCCATGAGTTTGAACTTTGGTATGATCATTTAGGTCACTCGGGAGCGATGATAATACGTAGGATAGCCCACAATACTAAAAACACCCTTTAAAGGATTAAAAAGATTTTGTTGTTCAAAGATTATACTTGTGAAACTTGTTCACAAAGAAAGCTCACTACTAAACCTTCTACGACAAAGGTTGATTCTAAATCTTTTTCATTCTTGCAAAGTGTTCAAGGTTATATTTGCGGACCAATACAATCGGCAAGTGAGTCATTTTGATATTTTATGATATTAATAGATGCATCTTGTAGATGGTCTCATGTTTGCCTATTGTCTGTATGCAATGTCACCTTTGAATGTTTACTTGCATAGATTATAAAGCTTTGGGCACACTTCCTTGATTATGCAATTAAGAGCATAAAAATGGATAATACTAGTGAATTTACATCAAAGCGTTTTGATCCATATTGTGCTTTACTAAGAATCAAGGTTGAGCACCCGGTTCCACATATTCATACTTAAAATGGATTGGCAAAATCCCTAATTAAATACATTCAAATTATCACTTATACTTTTTTATTAAGGACAAAGCCTAACTATTCAGCGTGAGGTTAGGTTGTTTTGCACGCGCTAGCACTAATTAGTATGCACCCTACCATTAGCCACATGCTATCTCCCTTGTAGTTGGTTTTAGACTATGAACCAAACATTTTACATTTATGTTCCTTTAATTACGTTGTACAGGTGCTTGTAGCACTACTAAAAAGGACTTATTCTTTAAGAATACTTTCAATTTGAACCTTAAGTGGACAAGGTGTGGAATGCAAGACTATAAGATGGCAACTAATTTTGTCTCTCTTTTCTTTAGAAAAGCTTGGAGGAGAAGAAGAAAAATGACAGCTCAAACTTTTTGAAGAAAAAGTACGTTCTTTTATTTTCTTCCAATTTGTTCTCTTTTTATTAAAACTCTTACCTCAAAAGTTTAATCGACATGAAACATCTTTGAATCAATCTTGACCATCCATTTAGAGTTATGGAAGCATCAAACTGGCTTCATAATTATCAAAATTAAAATTAAAGAATAAA